CTAATTCAAAAACTGACAAATGTCGAGCATCCCGATATGACTGGGAGTACCCTAAGAATGAACAAGAAAAATCATGATGGCAATAGAATTTTTTTTTGGTGCAAAACTTGGGTTAGAATCCTGCTTGCGGTACAATTCTCTATTTTCATGTCAGATATTTAAACGTGCAAAGCTTGAGCTTCTGATATCGAAATCCATCGATTTGAAAGCCAAAATTCATCTATGCATATAGGATTACAACTTTGATAGGGATTTAGGGCGAGATATAATCATTTTATAGGACAAAATCAGGTCGCGATCTCGTCGGTCAAAAAGGGTCTCCTGATCTAATTCAAAAACTGACAAATGCTGAGCATCCCGATATGGCTGGGAGTACCCTAAGAATGAACCAGAAAAATCATGATGGTAGTAGAATTTTTTTTGGTGCAAAACTTGGGTTAGAATCCTGCTTGCGGCAGAATTTTCTATTTTCACATCAGATATTTAAACGTGCAGAGCTTAAGCTTCTGATATCAAAATCCATTGATTCGAAAGCCCAAATTCATCTATGCATCCAGTACTATGGCTTTCATGGGGAGTCAAGGTGAGATATGATAGAATCAGACCAAAATCTGGTTGGTCAAAAAGGGTCTCCCGATCTAAATTCAGGAAACTAACAATGTCAAGCATCCTCGACTGAGAGCCTGCCATAAGAACAATGAGCCCTAGGACCCAATCAAGGTGTAGGTCCATTCTTTAATATGTCATGAGTGATAGAATATAGTTGGGATGGTCAGATATTGCACGAACCCAAGTCAGAATCAGGGTCTAAGTTGGAAGAAAACAAAAAAAAAACATTGCGACAGTAGTAGAGCTAGGTTTTTCTAGTGCCACTTTCAAGGAATTTATTTCAACCTTACAGCCCATGTAAAAGAGGAATGAATTTAGCATTATAAAGAATCCTAATTAGCCTAAGAATCCTAACAATTTCGATAGCAGTGGGGAAGGATAAAGAGAGCAGGAGATGGCTTAAATGGGTAACAACAGTCATGGTGCTAATAAGATTCAGATGTTGAAGGAAGAGTTGAGCAAGTCTTTTGCAATGAAAGACTTAGGACCAGCAAAATAGATTCTTGGCATGAAGATCACACGTGACAGGAAGAAGGGGAAACTTTGGCTATCTCAGGAGAGATATGTTCAAAAGGTACTTGAGAGATTCAATATGAGCAACTCCAAACCTGTTTATTCTCCACTTGCAAGCCACTTTATACTAAGTTCTAAGTAGTGTCCTTCAAGTGATGAAGAAAAAGATGAGATGAAAAAGGTTCCTTATGCATCCGCAGTTGGTAGCTTGATGTATGCCATGGTTTGCACAAGGCTGGATATAGTTCATGCAGTTGGTGTGGTTAGTCGATTCCTCTCCAATCCTAGTAAAGAACACTGGTCAGCAGTTAAATGGATACTCAGGTATCTCAGAGGTACTTCTAGTTTCAGCTTATGTTCTGGTAATGATAAACCTGTGTTGGATGGATACACAGATGCAGATATGGCTGGTGATGTTGATTCTAGAAAGTCCACATCTGGATGCTTGATGAAGTTTGCAGGGGGAGCAGTCTCATGTCAATCAAGGTTGCAAAAATGTGTTGCATTATCCACTACAGAGGCCGAATATATTGCTCTTACTAAAGGGGGCAAAGAGTTGTTATGGATGAAGAAGTTTTTGCATGAACTTGGCCTAGTTCAAGAGAACTTTGTATTGCACTGTGACAGTCAAAGTGCAATCCATCTCAGTAAGCATCTTACTTTTCACTCTCGATCAAAGCACATTGAGGTTAGATATCAATGGATTTGAGATGCTATGGAGATGAAGTCATTCATTGTTGAGAAGATCTATACTAATGACAACGTGTCTGACATGATGACCAAACCTCTACCGAGAGAGAAGTTTGAGTTCTGCAGAAGGGAAGCAGGCTTGTCAGAGCCTCCAAAATTGAATTTTACATATTGATTGCTGGTATGGCGAATTCCTCACATGGTGTGTGAGGGGGAGATTTGTTGTGTGTAGTCCCACACCATGTGATGGTGGGACCACCACATTAATTTTCATGTGATGGCTGTCTCTTGGTGTTAATATTAATGTGGTTCGGGTACTGTAGCGGCAGAATTGAAAATAGAAGAGAGGAGAAGAAAATCAAGAGAGAAAAAAAGAAGAAGAGGTAGCAGAGCAGCCTGCGTTCTTCCTTCGATTTGCAGTTCGTTCACCGTTGGATCGGGCTGAGAATTTGACAGAAGCTTCTAGACACGTTGATCTTCATTCTTGATGATTGGATCGAAGATTGGTGGTGTGGAAGCTAGCCTTTTTTATAGAAAACAGGGCTATCAGTATTGTGAGTTTTTCTCAAATAATTCTCCTTTAATCTTGTTGTAATCCAAGAATAAGTTGTTCTTGATGATATATATGTTGTATCCCTTAGTTGAATCTGAAGAAGAATGATTGTGAACCCATTATTTGTTGATAGTGGAAATTTTTAGATGGACAATGGCCCCGTGGTTTTTTCCATATCGGGTTTTCCACGTTAAAAATCTTGGTGTTGATTTTGTGATTATTTGCATTATTTTTTATCATTGTTTGATTCTGTTTTACTGCACAAAGAGGGAAAGAATTGGGACTTGTGAACTGTATTTCATTGAATTGATCCAGGTAAATTGGTATCTGGTTGTTCCTAGTTTTCCCAACAAAACTAAACCATTGGATTCTTTTGACCTTTCTCTAACATTTGATAGAAAGTTCCTGCCTTCAAATTTATGAAGGTTCTAGTTATAAAGAGTCTTTGCTATGACTGCCTTCCCAACTCCAACAATCCCATAGAGCATAGCAATAGTAGCACCATGGGTGCCATCTCGCAACCATGAATTGATATATTTTACCAGATGATCTCTTCCAATGAAATGAAGGGGGACATGAAATATTTTACGATCCAGTTTCTTTAATATTTTATCAGATGATTGGACAAGCTGTGCCTCATACTTGCATCAGAAAGAAAAATGCAATGTATGATAATTAGTAGTCTCTCCGTAAAGTTTAAAAATCTTAGTATCCTGGAAAAAAGAAATTAAACCAGGCTGTGCGTCAATGATTGATTGCTATTTTTGTAGCTATGTTATCACCACATAATAAAACCAAAAAGTTGAAAAATTGAGAAAAAAGTATCTTTTATTTTTATTGTCCTAGTATGTTCTCTGAGTTGGGAGTGTTATAGTTTCACTAAATTGTAGTGGTATTATCAGTTATCGTCTCAATGCTTAACTATAAACCTGAAAAAATTAAGAGCTCAGAACCAGCATTCTATTATTGTGTTATGTGTAGTTTCATCAAGAAATACAACTTACCCCTCTCCTAAAACCATTCCTCCTAAACCTGCAACTTCCTACAAAGCAATCCTCCACCCATTCACTTGCTCCATCTCCTTCTTGAAGCGCTTTTCATGTTCCACAAATGCTGCAGCGAAGCTCCCTGTTTGATTTCTGACTTCAGACGGATCCACGTCATAGAAGACCGGCAAAATTATGTAGTCAGTATTTCTCTTACGTTCCATGATCATTACAAGTTCATCCACGCACCACCGCGACGAAGCATATGCTTTGGAGAACACGATTATTGATATTTTTTATTGTTGTATTGCCTGTTGGAGCTCTGACATAATATTTTCTCCTCTCCCAATTTCATCATCGTCTCTAAATGTGTGAATTCCTGCTTGAACCAGGGCTGTGTAGAGGTGGTCGGTAAAGTTCTTGTGGGTGTCTTCACCTCTAAAACTCAAGAACACTTGATATTTACAATTAGAGAACCGTGAAAATGAGGATTCTTGATATTTCCCAAAGCCATTTCGAGACTAGCAAAGACAAAAAGTTGCAGGATGAATGTCGATAAAGTTCTTGCGGGTGTCTTCACCTCTAAAACTCAAGAACACTTGATATTTACAATTAGAGAACCGTGAAAATGAGGATTCTTGATATTTCCCAGAAGCCATTTCGAGAATAGCAAAGAAAAAAAGTTGCAGGATGAATGTCGATAAAGTTCTTGCGGGTGTCTTCACCTCTAAAACTCAAGAACACTTGATATTTACAATTAGAGAACCGTGAAGATGAGGATTCTTGATATTTCCCAGAAGCCATTTCGAGACTAGCAAAGAAAAAAAGTTGCAGGATGAATGTCGATAAAGTTCTTGCGGGTGTCTTCACCTCTAAAACTCAAGAACACTTGATATTTACAATTAGAGAACCGTGAAGATGAGGATTCTTGATATTTCCCAGAAGCCATTTCGAGACAAGCAAAGAAAAAAAGTTGCAGGATGAATGTCGATAATTCAAGATCGATTGCACAGCAATTAGCTGAAGTATTTATATATGGTTATCTGACTTTTTCTTGAAAACATTTTTTAAGTTATTTCCCAGCAATCAACTCCCCCAAGCCCTTTCAGAGAAATATCTGTACATATTTTAACCGCACTTGCTACCACGCATTTAGAAGCACAGATGGAGCAGGAAAGGAAAGTCATTAAGGATCCCCATCTGGCTATGTAAGCCTTAATTATTTAGAAAGCACACATCTTGTAATCCTTATAAAGCCCACTGAGGTGAATTTGTTAGTTTATAATTTTTTGAGTGGCATAATATGATGAGATGATGAACAAGTAGTCACTAGCAGTGGTCTAATCTAAGTGATCATCAACAAAGAAAACAAGACAGCAGCTGGAACCAAAGTAAACAGGAGATAAGAAAGAGAGAGTACCTGCAAGTTTCCCTTCCCTTCTCTCTTCAGTTGTGGCTGCCGTGCTGTATCAGTAATCTAAGCGGTTCTGCTCCAAAATTTTAAGACAACCCTTCAAGTCTATGTGGCACAATATTATAAATAAAATATTTTATTATATAGGAATGCGAGGTAGAGTTACCAAAAGGGACATTAGACACCCGCATCATCCAACTCATCCACTCTTGCTGTGCGCCTGCTCTGGTCGTATCTCTATCCTCTCGCATCCAAAACCAGCATCAACACCACCCACCAATAAGAAAAAGGCACGTGGAGGATCATGACTCTGAATCAGCTACTGGGTCGGCTACCGACTGGTGTTCCGTTTTGAGCCATTGAGTATTGCTGTGGAGTGGAGGGACATTGAAGCTGCACACTGTTTGGTGACTTTGGCTATAAAGTGTGGGCTTAAGGAATCAGGGATTACAAGTGCTGATGGCAAGAGGGTTATTGTATAAGAATGGAGGTTCGATGGAGTGATAGTAATAGGATTCTGTTGTCAAAAGATTGTGTGAGGTTTCCCGTTGACTTGGCTCGTCAGAAAATTGGAAGAGAACTCGAGCGTTTTTTTAGTTGTTTAAGAGAAAACAGCAAATGGGCTAGTCAGATAAAAAATTACTAATTAAATTTTATCATGTGATATTTTTATTTTATTTTTTATATAAAAAATGAAATAAAAAAGATAAAATAACATGAAAATTGAAAGCTTAACTTATATTTAATATGTCTTATTATAAATACAAATTAATAAAATAATATCATATTACATTTTTGAATATGAAAGCCCTTATAAATATTTATAAATAATAGATCTCATGCTATTTCATGATAAGCTATTTTCATGATAAGCTTTTCAAGAAAAATGAAAAAACTATTTCAAAAGCTTTCCAGCTTTTTTGATTTTACGGTTGAAATCTAAAAATGCAAACCTCTACTGAATGAAACCTAAAATAATACATGTTCTAGACCCTTCTTTGCAAAATTCCAAAAAGTGAGATTGCGAGCCCTGCGTTTAGCATGGAAAGAACAATTATAATTTCTAACTATATGAGAAGCTATTTCTACTTTGGCAACGTGTGCTGCATCATCATCATCATCGCTAGTGTTGTGGGCATTGATAACTTCATCCTTTCCTTCCTCTTCATGCAACCATTGTACACCAACGGTCCTTATTTGGATAGCTGGACCACGTGGACGCACTGAAATACTCACGTCATCACCATTATCAAATGTAGGATCATTGCCCCCTAATTTCATGTGCAATAGCGAATGGATTTCCCGAACACCACGCTCGTACCCCATAGCGAAGACAAAGGCTTGACGAAGCAAAGATCGACCATTGGTATTGTTTTTGATTTCAATATAAACATTATTATAGCCATGGTATGCTGACGTCACACAACTTATTAACAGATTAAAGCCACGTATCCGGTGCGCAGGAGGTGATGAGGATATTTTGAATGAAAAGTTATCTACAAACTCATTCTGAAATAGCCATTTATCCTCTTCTTCCTCCTCATGAAACCACCTCGACTTCTCTTCGTCATCAAAAACAGATACGACAATGTTGAATATGCCATCTATAAATATGATCTGTACCACCGAAACAATGTCTATAAAATGAGCAAAAGAAAAATATTCAAATGTAGATTTCAAAGAAAATAACATGGGCGAGGGAGGACCTGAAATCTCGATGGCTGTATTTGAGCACTAACCGTTTCCATTATTCTGAACATGTGAGAGTCTAACTTTTGGATTAATTCTTGCTTTATCCGATCTTGGAACTCGACTAAGTGATCAAAACCATTTCCTTCAGTCCAAATGTTTGGATTTGCAAGTCCTTGCAGTGAATGGCAAAGGGACACATCTAACAAATCCAAATGGGATGGAAGCTTTGGGAGTGCCTGAAGCATTTTGCAATTTCTTAAATATAGGGCTCTGAGTAGACCAAGATCCTTGATGCTTTCTGGAAGAAAACGAATTGGAGTTCCACTTAAATCTAGACTCTCCAAGAAGCGTGGCAGTGAAAACGAGGAAAATCTCAACATTTTCCTCGTTGAAAACCTAGAGGGAAAGAATAGCTTCAATGGAAGAGATGAAATGAATGATGTACTTGCAACAATTCCATCACTTTGAAGCAACTTGCGCCCCTGATGATGCCCTAACTCCATATTCAGGCTGTCAAGATTTGAGCAACCATCTAAAACCAGCTCTTGAATTGAATTCAATGTACTCATTTCTTCTGGAAGCTCCATAAGACTTGTACAATTTCTTAGATTTAAGATCAACAATCTTTGTAAATCACCAATAGATTCGTGAATTTGAACCAAACGGATGCAGTCTTCAAGTATTAGCTTTTCAAGGGCTGGGAGACCCGAGAAGTCTGGGGTTCTAATGAGATCACGAGAGTGACGGAGATCAAGAATTTTCAATTTTGGAAGAAACTGTGAAAATACATGAATTTAGTTGTTATCAATTGAAAACGAGAGAGATAGCTATAGAGAGACTTGATACATACCGGTTTGCCCTTCCAAGCATCAACTAGACGGCTTCTGGATAGATCAAGAACCACCAGCTTCTCCAAGCACACGTGATTTGGTATGGAGCTCCAAGACAATCCATGCCAACATAACCATATCAAATTCTTGGGAAAGTGCTCAAAACTTCCATGAAAATTAGTGTAGTTTAGTTGGAGAAATTTTATATCTGGCATCTTTCTAAAAGAATCCGTGCTGAGGATGGGAAACAAACTTGATTGGCGAGTTTGTAATTTTCCCCCATCGGAAAAATCAGAAAGCCATTGTTGAAAGAAGTTAAGCCTGCGGCGCTTGCGACAAACCACTGAATCAGTACAGACAACTTCTGCATAATGATCTTCCATTAATGCATGCATATCAATGGTAATGCCACGCAATTTTTCAGCATCCTGCATAATAATATTGAAAGTACATGAGAAAGGAGAGTAAATGAGAGAATATGTGAAGGCAAAACAAATCATTTAAGTAGACATATAAAAAAATTGAGCTACTTACAGTAGTTCCTTTCAAAACTGTAAAAGCATCCCCATGATGCCATATTCTTTGACATTTGGGTGATTCTCGACGTGCAATTTCCCTACCCATATCTCTTACTAGTTGATGCATCCACAACCTTTGATCACCGTTGATTTCAACAAGACATCTATCGATGAGATTGTCAATCCCAAATCTTGCACCTTTATCAAGCCCATCCAGTATCCTGACTGCATCATCCACATCCATTCCATTGAAGAAACATGCGATATCAAGGAATAAGTTCTTCGGATAATCACCATCAAGAAAGTCGTAACTTATTCGAAGAACCTTATGAACTTCAAAATTAGGAATCACTTCCATTTGTTGTAATGCGCTTTCCCATATCTCTCTTTCTTTTCCGGACAATGAAGAGCCAATAACTCCAAGAGCTAATGGAAGTCCATTACAATGATGTACTATTCTCCAAGAGTCTTCTACAAAACCATCAACAGGGTCAGCTTGTCCAAAGGCATTCCAACTGAAAAGCTCAAGTGATTTTTCATCATCTAGCGGTTCAACTTTGCACCGGACCCCCGCAATATCATTAGCTGAAAACAGACCCTTATTTCTGGTTGTTACAATGATTTTACTTCCTTTACAAAGCCAATTTTGCATGCCAATGATTTTATTGAATTGGTCCCTTTTGTCCACATCATCTAGAACAATAAGAGTTCTTCTACAACATAATGCATCCTTAATCTTCAGAATTCCTTCATCAGGATCATTTATCTCAACAGTCTTGTTTAGGATGTCGAAAAGAAGTTGCCTCTGTAGGCAAACTATATCCTTTGACCTAAAATTTGATAGAAAGCTCTTTCCTTCAAATTTATAATAGTTCTGGTTAAAAACACTCTTAGCTATGGCTGTCTTTCCAACTCCACCAATTCCATAGAGTAAAGCAATGGCAGCACCATGGGATCCATCTTGCAACCATGAGTTGATATCTTGTACTAGAGCATCTCTTCCAATGAAATGAAGGGGGACATAAAATATTTTTGGATCCAAATTCTTTGAGACATTCTTCACAATAGATTGGACAAACTGTGCCTCGTGCCTACATCAAAAAGTAAAATACAATGTGGGATAATTAGTAGTCTCTATATAAAGGATAGAAATAAACAATATTTAGCTAAGAAATTAAACCAGGTTCGTGTCCATGATTGATAGTTAAAGTTGTAGGTGTGTTATCACCACCTATTAAAACCAAATCATGATCGAAAAAAGAAGAAGAAGAAGAAGAATAAATTATAAGTATTTTATTTTATTTTTCTTATATGTTTTCTTATCAGTACACTTAACTGAAAGAAATTAAGAGTTCACGACCAGCATTCTAGATATAACTTACCCATCTCCTAAATCCATTCCAGCTAAATTTGCAACTTCCTTCAAAGCAATCCTCCACCCATTCACCCGCTCCATCTCCTCCTTGTAGTGCTTTTCATGTTCCACAAATGCTGCAGCGAAGCTCCCAGTTTGATTTCTGACTTCAGATGGATCCACATGATAGAATACTGGGAAAACTATGCAGTCAGCATTCCTCTTACGTTCCATGATCATTACAAGTTCATCCAGGCACCATCTCGACGAAGCATAGTTTTTGGAGAACACGATTATCGCTATTTTTGATTGTTGTATTGCCTTCTGGAGCTCCAGCTGTATATTCTTTCCCCTCCGAATTCCATCATCATCTCTAAATGTGTGAAACCCTGCATCAACCAGGGCCTTGTAGAGGTGATCGGTAAAGTTCTTGCGGGTATCTTCACCTCTAAAACTCAAGAACACTTGATATTTACAATTAGCAAACCGAGAAGAGTAGGATTCTTGATATTTCCCAGCAGCCATTTCGAGTCTAGCAAAGATAAGACTTTTCAAAGATCTGAACAAAATAAAACGAGTTGCAGGATAGTTCAAGATCGACAGCACACCAATAAGCTGAAGTGTTCATATATTATTATCTTACTTTATCTTTAAAACAGTTTTCAAGTTATTTCCCATCAATCAAATCCTCCATGCCCTTTC